ATTTGGATTGGGAGCTGGCGCGAGGTCAGTTCAATATTCATGCCTTTGGTAAAACTTTAAAAACATCACATATGTGCATCAATGCCATATCTTTGTAACAAAAATTTCTGGCTATAGCACGAGGGTGTCGAATGAATTGGGATCTGGGAATCCTCAGAAGGCTCTAGTGGCAGTTAGAGTTGCAATGTCTCTTGCAGTTGCAGAGACAGTAGTGGTGAGCACAGTAACATTCTTGTGCCGCGGAGTTCTGGGTAAAGCCTATAGCAATGATCAGCAAGTGGTGGATTATGTTGCTGCAATTACCCCTTTCCTCTGTCTATCAATCGTCACAGATAGCTTACAAGCAGTCATCTCTGGCAAGTCTTCTAATACATCTTTCAATAATCGTTAAGTAGGCGTTTGGACAATATTTAGTACAAGTTTGAAAAAAGAGTATTTGAAGTCGAAGTTGGAAAAAAGGTATCCTTATAACGAAATATTACTCCATATGTTATTGTGGTATGATTTGGCTATGTTGGAAATAAACAGGAATAGCAAGGGGAAGTGGATGGCAGATTATTGGGGCATATGTGAATCTTGGAGCATTCTATTTGGTTGGAATCCCAGTTGCTGCCATATTGTGTTTTCTTATACATTTGAGAGCAAAAGGCCTTTGGATTGGACTTTTGGTTGGTTCTGCAATACAAGCAGCTACTCTTTCCTTCATACTAGGTTTCATTGATTGGCAAAAGCAGGTCCAATTTTTTTTCATCCTTAGACTTATTTAATTACTTAGCCTGATTATCTCTTGTTTTAACTATTGTGATGAAATTTTGCAGGCGATAAAGGCTAAGAAGAGGATATCAGAAAGGATATCATCAGAAGAGAATGAATAGAGGAGGCTAATTCAAAAGAAGACAGAGAAATATAGAGGGTCACATTGGCCTAAAATTAATGCTCACTTGGTTGACAACACGTTGAGGTTCTATTTATTGCTATTGGCTACAAAATCAAATCTGATTAGCTGCAAATCCTATACTTTATATACTAGTCATTGGGTTGTACCCTTGTCTATTATTATATGAAATATACATACACAATATATTTCTCTTTATTTTTGTCATTTTAGAATTTATGAGATGAGTTAATACTTTTGACTTGCTTATTTCATCTTAGTTTTCATTGATCTCTTCAAGAATGTGTGTTGCATATACATAAGCATGTTAAAACTTTCTTTGAGAAAGGAGGGGGAAAAAGACAAATGCAATGAAGATAAGATGAAGAAATCTAAGGTTTATATAACTGATTTTGCTAAAATTAACATCTGGATATAAACATAGTAAACTAGAATATTCTTATTTTTTGTTGCCTGTTTTTATCACTTATTTAAAATTAAATTAATTTGATCAATTAAAAACATTACTTTTAAATCAATAATAGGTACCATTTTCAGAGGGTTAATCTGCTATAGTTTGCAAGAGAGATCCTGTATGCGGTGAGGAGCTAAAAATACTTATAAGGAGATTCAGAAATCATACATACATCTCTTATATCAATGGAATTCAGACTTTTATATATGTACAAAAAAATTGTCTCTTATTTGCAAGTATAACTTTTCGATGAAGGAGATTCAATGAATCTATTTGATTACATGTGGCTCCGCATTGCCTATAAGAAAGAAAAAAAGGAGAATCTTATTTGTTTCAACGATGAACTCTATATAGTAGATGCTAAACTTACCATTTGTCAAAAATATTGAAATACCGTGGATAAAATGCTAAAGAAGTGCAGTAATAAATAAAACATAGATGAATGAAAAGCCAGATTATTAATGAACAATCAATGTGCAGAATGGTCAATCATAAACTTAATTTTGATACAGAACTTAAGAGAAAAAAATATATCCAACTGGGTGATTTATGTTTAGATATACTATAGCACCTAACTTTGGTGGTGGTGTAGAGCTGTCAAAATTAATGGTTCATCCACATTAAGGATATGCTGGTCCTCAGTTAGTGAAAAATGAAAATTAAACTTCCTAGAAGTGAAAATATTATGATGAATCAATGTCGAACTCATAGCGCATATTGCTTCCAGTTGTCTCTCTTGTATTATTGGCTTTTCTTCACTCTATATATATTTTGTAGACAGCGGCGCACAACTTCGATTTTTCACAAGTGGTGTCACGATTTTAAACAGTAAACAAATAATAACTTACCATAACAACATCGTATTAAAAAATATAGTTAAAATCTGTCACGACCCATTTTCTGAACAAGCCGGGACCGGCACTCGATCACTAAACATGGCCGAGCGAACCATCTCTGCTTATCAAATCTATTATAACTCCAAACTTTATATGCAACAAGCAATACTCTAACCAAATACTTTTGATTAATTTATACATTTAAATAAATCAACTCCAAAACTTTATTCATAGTAACCAATGAAATACTGCTAAGTTATTATCAAAAACATCTGAATCTTAATCCAACGACTATGTCTATGAAGCCTCTACTGATAAACTGACGCACTGCTCAGGACATGCGATTTCCTGGCCAGTTCTCTAAGTAACAAAGAAATAACTAAATAAAGATGACTCTAAGGAATACTCCACGTACAAAAGCGGAGCTCACCAATAGCACTGGAAGAGAAGGAAGTCCTAACTCGTAGCCTGCTCGCCTGCAAATCCGGCTCCTACGTTGTACCGCAGACCAACGTAGGTTCCCAAAAAAGAACGTCAGTACCATCCATTGTACTCAATGAGTCTCAATAATAAGGGGCGAAACTTTAATAACATATACATTATGAGCAAATGTTCTAAATGTATGTAAAACATAAAGCTTATAAGAATAATTCTAAATAATTGCTGCAATTACCCCTTTCCTATGTCTATCAATCGTCACAGATAACTTACAAGCAGTCATCTCTGGCAAGTCTTCTAATATATCTTTCAATAATCGTTAAGTAGGCGTTTGGACAATATTTAGTACAAGTTTGAAAAAAAAAATATTTGAAGTCAAGTTGGAAAAAAGGTATCCTTATAGCGAAATATTACTCCATATGTTATTGTGGTATGATTTTTTGGCCATGTTGGAAATAAACAGGAACAGCAAGGGGAAGTGGATGGCAGATTATTGGGGCATATGTGTGTGAGCACCTAATTTTTGCCTTACATGAAAATAATTCCTAAAAATAGACCAAAAATACTTTTTATTGATTTTTAGGAGTTTTTCTTTATTTAGTTGCATTTTATGTATTTTTAATATTTTTAAAAATCATAGAAAATCATAAAGAATTATCATGTTTTAACTCCATGCCATCTTAGGTTCAATTTGCATGTAGGAATTAATTTTATTAAGTAAAAATCACAAAAATGGTTATTTTTTACATATTTAGATTTTAGTCTTTAAAATTAGTATTTTTCTTTAGTTTTAAGTTAATTAGTTGTTTTAATGTTAAAAATAAATAAAGAATTTTATTTTCTACAAAAATAGATTAATTTAGGATTTTAATTAATTAAAGGAAGAAAAAGAAAACAAAAGAAAAGGCTGGTTTTTTGATACTGGGCTACCCCAAAGAGCAAATGCAAATGGCCCAAATGTGATTCTTTTACCCAAAGGTTTTTAATTGTACATTAATTGTACCTTATATCACTCCTACATTTATGGTACAGTATATTCCTCCAACTTCTCCCCCCCTCCCCNATTTCAAAAATCATTATTTGTTTGGATTGGGTGTTGTTGTAAATAATTGGGAATATGATTTGGAGTTTATATCTCAATTTTGAGGGGTTTTAATGAAGATTAGACTTGGTTTTGGCTGAATTTCAGATTGAAATTCGAAGAAGAAGAAGAAGAAGATGTATATTGCAGAAATTGTAGATAAATTGAAGAAAAATTGTAGACTGTTGTTTATTTATTTTTCTTGAAGAAAAATTGCAGAAATATTTTTTTGGATTCCATATTTAGCATAGCAGTTTCGTACGGAGTAACAAGAGCATATAGGAGAATCACAGAATTGTAGCATAATCAGGATTTTCGATATAATTGCATTTTTTGCAGAAGATTTGTAGAAGTTTTAGTCGTTTTTTATTTATGAAAACAGAAAATAAAGCATCTACAATAAGAATACAAATAATTTACAATTTATCGATAAAATATCTACAAACTAGGTACATTGAATTTTAATATCCCAATTTCCATTCAATTATAGCATAATTGGGATTTTCGACATAATTGCGTTTTTTGCAGAAGATTTGTAAAAGCTTTAGTCGTTTTTGATTTGTGAAAACATAAAACAAAGCATCTACAATCAGAATACAAATAATCTATAATTTATTTACAAAATATCTACAAACTGGGTACATTGAATTTTAATATCCCAATTCTCATTCAATTGTAGCATAATTGGGATTTTTGACATAATTGCATTTTTTCAGAAGATTTGTAGAAGTTTTAGTCATTTTTTTATTTGTAAAAATAGAAAATACAACATCTACAATCAGAATACAAATAATCTATAATTTATCTACAAAATGGGTACATTGAATTTTAATATCCCAATTCCCATTTAATTGTTGCATAATTGAGATTTTTGACATAATTGCCTTTTTTCAGAAGATTTGTAGAAGTTTTAGTCATTTTTTTATTTGTGAAAACAGAAAATAAAGCATCTACAATCAGAATACAAATAATCTACAATTTATCCCCAAAATATCTACAAACTGGGTACATATTTGGACTCGAAATGCTTCCCTTGAAATGTATGTTTCACATTTTTGATACATATTTTTGTCCAAAATAGTACTAAATCATCCACTTAAATACAATTTTTATATAATGTTGTTCAACTTTCATACAATAGGTAAATGAATAAAAGAAAAATAAATAAACAACTGTCTACAATTTCTTTTACAATTTTTCTACAATTTCTGCAATATACGTCTTCTTCTTCTTCTTCTTCTTCTTCTTCTTCTTCTTCTTCTTCTTCTTCTTCTTCTTCGACGAGTTTCAATCTGAAATTCAGTCAAAACCAAGTCTAATCTTCACCAAAACCCCTCAAAATTGAGATATAAACTCCAAACCATATTCCTAATTATTTTCAACAACACCCAATCCAAACAAATAATGATTTTTGAAAACCCAAATTTGAACTCAAAGCTTCAAAGCTTTTTAAAGGTTGTCAATGGTGGAATTGCTGCTCTCTTTTCCTTTGCTTTGTATATTCGCCATAATTGCTTTTGTTGCAGAACAATTGTAGAAGATTTTGTCGATTTTGATTTGTGAAATCAGAGAAAATGTTGAAACAGAGTTTAGCGCAAAAAACAGAGTACGAAAATTTTTTAAAGAAGTCCACGATAGTGATTACTATGCGTGATCTGCGTTGGAAGATCTGGAAAATATTTAATTTTCTTTTTTAGCGCGCCTAAATAAGGAATCCTACAGCTATAATGATTCCTTATTTAATGCATTGTATATACTATGTAGAAATACTATTAGCATGAAGGGTAATATGCAAACTATGAACATATTTGGTAATATAGTTTCCTATATGGTATAGAAACGAAAATTTTCCTTTACCCAATTCCCACACAACCCAAGCCTATTCCCATTTACCCTTATCTGATAAAATAAAATCCTAGACAAAAAAATAACAATGAGATCTCTTTCTCTTCTAAAATGAAGAACGTTGTTTCCCCTGCTTCTTCTTCTTTCTTTACCTACAAAAACTTTAACCTGACTCTTACACTTAGAAATTCTCACCTATCTCGCTCATTGATATAGATGCACACATAAGTACTCCCTCTCATCCCCTCACGGAGATGGGAAACAGTTTTCTGATTTAAACATTTGGACCCAGATCTGAAAAATTCGAAAAAAAAGAAGACCAAAGGATCCCATCCATTGTTCAGAGTTGCTTTTTTACTTTGCTGGATTTTTAAAGCTGTTGGACGTGTGGGATTGTTGCTGCTTTGTTGCAATTTCGCTGAGATCCGTGGCTGGTTTCCTTACTTCTTATGTTAGCTTTTATTCGGAAGTTGTCGTATTGTTCTTTTGGGTCTGGTGTGAGAAACCTTTTGGTATATCTCTATTGAGGTAAGCTCTTACCAATATTCCATATTTAAGCTCACTTGTTATATTAAATTTAATCCTGAAACGGATTTGATATATTCTGAAATTGATTCAAGAATAGGATGTAAATCTTGTTCATTTTATATGTTAAACCACTGTGTTGATGTTTTTTTGAATGGTTTTAAGTTGAATAAAATGTCACATTTTAATGAGCATGTTATTGATTTTATTGTGGAAAGCTACAACTGCAATTGTTAGCTATAAAGATTTTTGCTTAGTACTTCAAGTTTGTAGTCGTGTAGTATCGTATATCCAATAAAGTGTTTTTTTAGTGTGGTTAAATTGAATGCATCTGGAGTGTAACATTTTTTTTTTGAATTGTTAAATATGTAACTTGATCTCATTTTTCCTGATGGACGACTATAACTTATTGGATTCAGTCATATAAACAACAATTTTGGCCCATAATATATTGTGTTTCCTCCCTTTTAGCCTTAGTCTGTTATTATCAAATACCTTGTATGGTTATTACTTGATATCAGTGCTTCTTCTACCTTTTCTTTAGCCTAGGGTCTATCGGAAGCAGTCTCTCTGTCCTTCTAGAGTAGGGGTAAGGCTACATGCATCAATACCCTCCGACCCCACTTATGAGAATACATTGGGTTGTCATTGTTGTTGTATGGTATACAAGATTTTTATGAAAGGTATTTTAATTTAGTTTGAAGTATATTATATTGCTCATACTTGGCCTCATATAATCTCAAAGACTAGGAAAATAATTCAACCGTAGTTTGCTTTAGGCACGCAATTAAAATTATTACAACTACGGGTATAGTTCCTGTGACATGGTTGCGATACCTAATTTTAAATTAGATTAAAGTAGGAGCATCTTTAGTTTGCCCTAGAGAAAAATATAAATCTTTTCTTTTAAAAATGAATTGAGGTGCGCCATATGCAAATAAAATCCATAACCTATAGCTCTTACATAAATAAATTTAGTATAGAAAATGCCTTGAACTATCGTAGCTTGCTTTAGGCGCGTTAATTAAATAATTGTCATAGCTACGGGTACGGCTCTCGTGACATAATCGTGACGCTTAATTACTAAAATTCGGGGGTACATTTATATGACCCGGCCACAACAACTAATAATGCTAATAATTTAAACATGTTGTAAATTGTGGGTACAGTTTCCGTGACATGATTCGCAATGTGTACCAAACAAGCAAATGTACGACAATCGTAACTTGTTCCAGAATAATTTCACAAATAATTAAAAGCGGTTAAAAGTTAAAAATGCACTATAGGTTTAAAACGTATAGTAAATCAGATAATAGGCCAATATTAATAGTTTAAGCGACCGTGCTAGAACCACGGAACCCGGGAATGCCTAACACCTTCTCCCGGGTTAACAGAATTTCTATTTCTGGTTCACAGACTTATAAAGTAAAGTCGAAATTTCCTCGATTTGGGATTTTAAAATAAACCGGTGACTTGGGACACCACATAAATTATTCCAAGTGGCAACTCTGATTAAATTAAATAATCACATATTGATTTATGTCACTTTAATTGGAAAAACTCCTATATACCCTCGGGTGGTAAAAGAAAGGAGGTCTGATAGCTCTGACGACTCCGCTGGGGAAAAGAACCCAGAATCTCTGGTTTAGGGTTCAAGAATTCGAACTTAGAATTATTTTTATATTTGGCTTTTATTTATTATCTGGTTTTATTACATGTTTGGGCCTAATGTACTAAATGTTGTTTTTTACCGCTTTGATATTATCTGAACTGTATATAAACTGCTACGAAACCCTTCTCTTCTCATCTCTAGGGATGTGCACGCTGGCGTGACTCCTCTCTAGTTAGTGTCATACCTTAAATTAGGAAGAGGCTCGGACAAGTTATAAAGCCGGATGGCCTTTTGGTTTCCGGTACGTTGCCCTCCCTCCCGGCTCCAATTGTACGCTCGGGTAAGCCAGGTCTAGAACAATACACCCAGGTTTTAAACCTAGAATAACTTAGCTTCATGTCAGATCCCTAGTAGGAACGCTTGTTTGTATCATGTGCATTTGACTTTGGGGACTCAACACAGGGGTTGGGTCCGTCTAGGACAGGTTTACCCAAATTAAAAGACAATCCTGATGCATCTTACGTGCTACTTACACATTGTTTATTTCGGCTTGCATGTTGACCGACTTCTAGAATAGGGAAAGAAAAAAAGAGAAAAAACAGAAAATCAAAAAAAAAGTGAGGCAGATGTTTACGAAATTCTGAAAAAAGAAGTCATTTCAAAATGAGCCAAAATTTTCAAGTGTCATGTTTCCCTTGTTTTGTCAAAACTGGCAAACTACGCGGGTCTGATTCTACCGAATGTGAGATACGTAGGCAAACCTCATCGGTTCCGGTCCACCATTTCAAAAAAATTCAAAAATATTTCCCTTTACTTCTTTCTTTAGAAAGTCTTTCTTTTAAACCCAAATTTTTTTTAAAAAAAAATAATACAAAAATATTTTCTTTTAGTCTCTCTCAAAATCCAAAAATATTTTCATTCTTAGTTCAAAAATTCAAAAGAAAATTCTAGATTCAAAAATATTTTCTCTTTTCTTTATAAGTATTTCTTTCATAAATTCAAAATAAAAATCCAAAAATTCAAAAATATTTTCTTTCTTCTTTAGAAGTTTTCCTTTCGAAATTCCAAAAAAAAGAGAAAATATTTTCTTTCTTCTTTAGAAGCCTTTTTTCAGAAATTCTCAGGAAAAAAAAGCAAAAAATCAAAATCGAAAAATATTTTCTTTATAAGTCTTTCTTTCGAAAAAAGCCCAAAATCCAAAAAAAAATGAGTTAGTTTATTTACTTTATTCCTAATTTTCCCGAACTATGCAAGTTCCGATTCATGTTCCCACATGATACGTAGGCAACCCACATCAGGTTCGATCAAATAATTTTGAAAGGAAAAAGAAAGAAAGAAAAGAAGGTGAAAAAAAAAGAGGAAGAATGATAATAATAAGGACTGACTGAGTCCATTCTAACATGTTTTTATTTTGAATTGTGAAGAAAGTTGAGGTGTTCGGTTTGTGGTAAGCTTGCAACACAAGATCCAAGGAAAAAATATCAATGACAACTGACATCGAAGCTGTTACAAATGCTCAAGAGACTCAGGGTTAAAGGGTTCAACAAGAGTCTACTGTAGTTGAGGAAAATAGACTACTGAAATAAAAAATGACTGAAATGTGTCAAGCATGGGCCAATGGCCAAGGACCGCCTTTTTCTTCTCATGGTTTCCCAAAGTTTCAATCCATCTTGACTACTACCATTCTAGTTTCATTGTCTGATCAATCCTGTCCACCTGGGTTCAGTCCTTATCCCAACTGTACGACTACAGCTGGGACTTCTATTGCATGCTCTCAAAGTTTGTCATTCACAACCAATCAGATAACCTCTATTGTTATGCATGTCTTCACCATCCCACATCCGACGGTGGTGCAGAGGAAAACTCATGAGTCACAATTTTCTACCCAACAAGAGCAGTACCATTCTCCTGAGTACCACTTGTACTTGTTTGATCTTCCTACAAACATTGAGAAGCCTGCCCGAAAGATGGCATAGGAAGAAATGACCCAAAGAGTGAAAAGCTTAGAACAACAGTTGAAAAACATGCAAGGGTTGGCAGGTCAGAAGAGTATTGCTTTCAAAGATCTATGTATGTTCACCGATGTCCACTTGCCGCCTGGTTTCAAGACTCCCAAATTTGAAAAGTATGATGGACATAGAGACCTCATAGCCCACCTGAAAAGGTATTGTAATCAACTAAGAGGTGCGAAAAGAAATGAAGAATTGCTAATAGCTTATTTTGGGGAAGGCCTTACGGGAGTAGCATCCGAATGGTTTATGGATCAAGACACATCTTGCTGGTGCGTCTGGGACGACATGACACAAGCCTTTGTCAAACAGTTCCAATACAACATCGACATCGCCCCAGACCGCAATTCCCTTTCAAACCTGAAGAAGAAACCAACTGAAAGTTTCAGGGAATATGCCATTAAATGGAGAGAGTAAGCAGCTAGAGTTAAGCCATCCATGGACGACCACGAGCTAATCACTGTCTTTCTTCAGGCTCAAGAGCCAGATTATTTTCAAAACATGATGTCCGTAGTGGGTAAATCATTCTCGGAAGCAATCAAAATGGGGGAAATGGTTGAGAATGGTCTTAAGACAGGCAAAATTATAAGTCAAGTAGTTCTCAAAGCTGCAACTCAGGCTGTCCAGATTGAATCTGATAATTCTAGTGACACGAATGAGAAGGACGAAGAAATCATGATGACGTCAGGTTCGAGACGAGGTCCTCGAAGAATGTCTCGAAGGTATGACCAGCCTCGTCTGTTTTCCGATGATGCTCCTGCACACTACTATTCACCTCTGAACTCACAATACTCTGTTGCTCCATCTCAGTATGTTGGCCAGCCACCAAAATACCCTATAAGGCGAGTACGAGCATCACAAAATCTCCACCAGCCTCCACAAAATTTTCAAGTGCCCTATAACCCACATCCAAACCAGGGGTATAGGGGGAACAAAGGTTGAAAGATAATTTTACGTCAATAGGAGAGTCTTATGCAAGCTTATTTGAGAGGTTAAAGCATTATGACATGATCGCACCTATTCCTCCAAATCATGTGAACCCACGTGCAAGAAGCTTCGACCCTTCTAAAAATTGTGAATATCATTCCAATGCCCAGGGGCACAGTTTTGAAAGTTGTCGGGATTTAAAAAGAGAAATAGAAAGGATGATCCAGGAAAACCTGATTGTGATCCAAGACAATGATACCCAGAATATCACGCAGAATCCTTTACCTGCACATGATGATGCACACTTTGTGGGGATGATGCCTGGTGACATAAAGTATGAGAATCCTCTTGGAAACTCGCCGATTGAAATTGGAGAAGACCATGGTGATTCCGATGAGCAAATTTGTGGCTAAATGTCAAGCTTAGCAATTGAAAAGTTATTCTCTCCTCACTAGGAAGGAATCTTGGTAGTTTGTTTTGATGTTTTTTCTGTTATTTGGGTTATTTCAAGGTTGTGATTTAGATTTTATTTGATTTATTGAGTCAACCCCTTCTATCGTTCTATTATGTGTGCATGAGTCATGTCTGTCTGTTTTTGTCGCAATTTTCATTATCCGGATTATTTTAGGGTTGTAACTCGGATTTTAGGTTGCTTGTTTAGTTGTCAAACCCTTCTATCCTTATTCAATAAAATACAGTTTGTCCTTATGTGTCATTCTATTCCTAGTTCTTTTCTCATTAGTTCTAATGACATGACATGCATGCGGAAATTTTGGCCAGATCTTAGAAAATGATTTAATCTGAAATTGGATAATTAAGAAAAAACACTTTTGAGGATGAGTAAAGAGTTGAAGTATTTTGGAATTAAGGTCGAGTAAAATTCACCTTCAAATCATTGTGAAGATCGGGCTTGAGGATATTTAATCAATTGAAGTTTGTTGGAAAGTTTGACACTAAGGGATGGAAAGTGTCTTGTGACCACGACACACCAAGAAGAAAGACATGTTCATCAATATCGTGATTGCGAAAGGATACAATAATTGGCGTTCTTGAGGCTGGGAGGCCCTTTTTCTGCTATCCAAACACTTTATATCCTTTGTTACCCCTTTTGAACCTGTGTTATTTTCTTTGACCACCCTCTTTTAAAATCAAGTTTAGAATCAAGAGTCAAAAAAAAATGAAAAGAAAATGAAAAAAATGAAAAAAATGAAATAAAAGTCCATGTCCCAAAAGTACAAACTGGGGCAATTCTTAGAAAGTACAAGTGAAAAAAAAATTAAGAAGAAAAGAACTGGCAAATGTCCATGCCCCCAGAAAATAGAAGCGGGGGCAACTTGTTTTTTAAAAAAAAAAACAAAAGGCAAAAAGGACAACGAAAAAGAAAGAAAGATGAAAAAAAAAATAGTTAGGTCAGATGTTTGAACTACGTTCGACCTGATTCCTTAAAAAAGGATACGTAGGCAGTCTCACGGTTCGGTCCAACCAAATAAGAATTCGAAAAAAAAATTCTAAAAAAATCCCTAATAGCTGAAACTGAGGCAAAGATTTTATTTCATTTTTGAAAGAGTCGATTCCAAGAGTTGCAAGTCTACAACCCCAATCATTTTGAGCCTTCATGCCTACCTTTCTTTCCAACCCTATCTAAAAACCTTCTCAATAAGACCTCTAGATAAGCCTTCAAGAATGTCAAGAGACACATGCAATGAGCAACAGTTGTCACACGACATAGAACACTATCAAGTTGCTCAAGAAAGCAACAGAAAAAAAAAGAAAAAAAATGAGAGAGTTTTACTAGTGAAAACTTTCACGGGCACTGTAAAGCGACGGTAAGTAGAGATGAATAAATGAGAGAGGCTTGTTGGTGAAAATCCCTCGGGGCACCACTAGTCGAAATTGAGTCGTGAAGTTGATGCAAAGGATTGGCACGAACAAGCCCGACTTCAAAGTCATAAGAATGGTAAAAGGGAAGATTTGGTCAGTTTGATAGATCGGTTGTTAAGTCCAAATGCATATAATGATCATTAAGGCTAGTTATTGAAAAAAAAGGAAAAAAGAAAAAAGAAAATAACCTTCCTTCTTTCCTTTCCGACAGGAGCATTTCTTGTTAATACTGTTTCTTTGCATCATTGTGTCCTTCACTCTTAGTCAGTCTTTGTCAAAACAAGTAAGAAAAGATTTCAAAAATTTGCTACCAGCTTTTCAGTTGCACAAAGTAAATTTGGTCAGCGCACTCGGGTGTTACTGTCAACGTGCCTTAAGGATTCAAGCAAAGGCTCCCCCAAAGACTCTTGTCAGCCTACTTGGCGCAAGCAAAGATAACTTGTGATTCTCTTGCTCAAAAAGAAGAAAGTCATTCAAGATATCAGAAAAGGTCACCTAAGCAAATATCTCCAATTGGGATAAGGCTGATTGAGCCACAACTACAAATGGTACTGGGTATGAAACAATTAGGATTGATGCATAGCAAGAGTCTCTTGAAACCAACTTAAGCTGATTGAGCAGAAGCCAAACTGCCAAAGACGTCAAGGCCACGAACCGACCACCACTTTTAAAACTGACAAAATTTTCTTTGTTTGAAACAGGAACAAAGCAGTGCAAGGAAAGTGGTTCAAAAAAAAGAAAAAAAAAAGAAAAAGAAGAGAAGAGAAGAGCCGACAAAAGGAAGTTTCTCAAATCTTTGCCTTTACTTGTCTGCATGTGCATAAAATTTTGTCATTGCTTTTCACATTTTTCCTCCTAGGATAAAAGTCCTAGTCTGATGGATTTTTCTCCCAATAAAAATCTTAGTCTGATGATTTTTCTCCTAAGATAAGAAAACCTAGTCTGATAAATTTTCTCCTAGGATCAAAATCTTAGTCTGATGAATCTTTCTCCTAAGATAGAAAACCTAGTCTGACGAACTTTCTCCTAGGATTGAAATCTTAGTATGATGAATCTTTCTTCTAAGATAGAAAACCTAGTCTGATAAATTTTCTCATAGGATAGAAATCTTAGTCTGATGAATCTTTCTCCTAAGATACCAAAAAAAGAAACCTAATCTGATGAACTTTCTCCTAGGATCAAAATCTTAGTCTGATGAATCTTTCTCCTGAGATAGAAGACCTAGTCTGATGAACTTTCTCCTAGGAGAGAAATCTTAGTCTGATAATTTCTTTCCTAAAATAAGAAAATCTAGTCTGATGAATTTTCTCCTAGGATCAAAATCTTAGTCTGATGAATCTTTCTCCTGAGATAGAAGACCTAGTCTGATGAACTTTCTCCTAGGAGAGAAATCTTAGTCTGATAATTTCTTTCCTAAAATAAGAAAATCTAGTCTGATGAATTTTCTCCTAGGATCAAAATCTTAGTCTGATGAATCTTTCTCCTGAGATAGAAGACCTAGTCTGATGAACTTTCTCCTAGGATCAAAATCTTAGTCTGATGAATCTTTCTCCTGAGATAGAAGACCTAGTCTGATGAACTTTCTCCTAGGATCAAAATCTTAATCTGATGAATCTTTCTCCTAGGATAGAAATCTTAGTCTGATGAACTTTTCTCCTAATATAAGAAAACCTAGTCTGATGAATCTTTCTCCTAGGATCAAAATCTTAGTTTGATGAATCTTTCTCCTAAGATACCAAAAAAAGAAACCTAATCTGATGAACTTTCTCCTAGGATCAAAATCTTAATCTGATGAATCTTTCTCCTAGGATAGAAATCTTAGTCTGATGAACTTTTCTCCTAATATAAGAAAACCTAGTCTGATGAATCTTTCTCCTAGGATCAAAATCTTAGTTTGATGAATCTTTCTCCTAAGATACCAAAAAAAAAAGGGACCTAGTCTGATAAACTTTCTCCTAAGATAGAAATCTTAGTCTGATGAATCTTTCTCCTAAGATAAAGAGACCTAGTCTGATGAATTTTCTCCTAGGATAGAAATCTTAGTCTGATGAATCTTTCTCCTAAGATAGAAAACCTAGTCTGACGAATTTTCTCCTAGGATAATTTGAAAAAAAAAAGGATGTCTCGATTTAAAAAAAAAGAGGCGTTGGGGAAATTTGTTTAAAAGAATGATTTTCTCAAAAGAAAAAAAAAGAAAAAATGTTGATTTTTTTTAAAAAAAAAAAAAGAAAAAAAAATCCTTCTTGGTTCATTTTAGCATAGGTACACAAGTCAATAGTCTCACTTTCCAAACATAGGGCCTCACTCCCTAGTTGATGTCAGCATAACTTGGTAATCTTTCCAACATAGAGTTTCCACTCCCTAGTTGATTTTATTTTATATATAGGGTCTCCACTCCCTAGTTGATTTTATTTTATATATAGGGTCTCCACTCCCTAGTCTGTTTTTTCAACATAGGGTCTCCACTCCCTAGTTGATTTTATTTTAGTCATAGGGTCTTCACTCCCTAGTATGTTTTTCCAACATAGGGTCTCCACTCCTTAGTCGTTTTTCCAACATAGGGTTTCCACTCCCTAGTTGCTTTCATTTTAGACATAGGGTCTTCACTCCCTAGTCTCTATTTTCTTAGGGTATACTAACCCATACTTTTAACTGCTTTCAATAAAGAAATAGTTTAGATTTTTATTACAATAACTCACGAAATTTTCCTAGTGAAAACTGAGGTAGAAAATTTCGTTCGTTTATTTGCTTTGGTACCTGAACAGGTTTTTACCATGAGGCACCAGGTTCGAGACGACATAAACAATGAGTCTCAATCCAGAAAAAGAAAAAAAAAGAAGTGAACTCAAAGTGCAGAAGTGGAGAAAAGATATGGACTGCTCAAGACGTGATTGAAGTCACAAGCTTTGCACGTCCCGCCATTATCTGAGAAGTTGGAAAAGGAGAGAACCAACACCTGCAACTAACAAGCATCAAGATTCAGATCAAAGTCCACATGAAGAACCAACCAAAACTCAAGACCAAGCTTCAGAAGACTCATAGATATGAATCTTGTAACTCGTAGTTGATAGGCTTAGCTAGTTTAGGGTTTGTTTTTCATTTTGGTGTAATAAGGAGCTCAGCAAGCAGAAACAGCAGCAACAGCAGTGAAATCACAGCTTCTCGATAGTCCCAGCTACCAAAACTTCCAAAACTACACCGACCTGATTCCTTTATAACCAAGGATATGTAGGCAACCTCCGAAGCAAGGTTCGGTCAAACGTTTTTTAAAAAATGCTTCCAAATAGAGTTTCAAACGGGCAAATACTGCTCGTAATTGCTCACTTTATTTTTGCCCGAAAACTCTTCATGTTTTCGAGCAAAGAGGGGCAGTTGTGAGCACCTAATTTTTGCCCTACATGAAAATAACTCCTAAAAATAGACCAAAAATAATTTTTATTGATTTTTAGGAGTTTTTCTTTATTTAGTTGCATTTCATGCATTTTTAATATTTTTAAAAATCATAGAAAATCATAAAGAATTTTCATCTTTTAACTTCATATCATCTTAGGTTCAATTTGCATGTAGAAATTTATTTTATTAAGTAAAAATCACAAAAATGATTATTTTCTACATATTTAGATTTTAGTCTTTAAAATTAGCATTTTTCTTTAGTTTTAAGTTAATTAGTTGTTTTAATGTTAAAAATAAATAAAAAATTTTAATTTCTACAAAAAAGATTAATTTAGGATTTTAATTAATTAAAGAAAAAAAAGAAAACAAAAGAAAATGCTGGTTTTTTTATATTGGGCTACCCCAAAGAGCAAATGCAAATGGCCCAAATGCTTTTACCCAATTCCCACACAACCCAAGCCCATTTCCCTTACCCTTATCTGATAAAATAAAATACTAGACAAAAAATAACATTGAGATCCCTTTCTCTTCTAAAACGAAGAACGCCGTTTCCCCTGCTTCTTCTTCTTTCTTTACCCACAAACCTTAACCTGACTCTTACACTTAGAAATTCTCACCTCTCTCGCTCATTGACATAGATGCACACATAAGTACTCCCTCTCATCCCCTCACGGAGATGGGAAACAGTTTTCTGATTCAAACATTTGGACCCAGATCTGAAAAATTCGAAAAAAGAAGACCAAAGGATCCCAGCCATTGTTCAAAGCTACTTTTTACTTTGCTGGATTTTTAAAGCTGTTGGACGTGTGGGATTGCTGCTGCTTTGTTGCAATTTCGCTGAGATCCGTGGCTGGTTTCCTTACTTCTTCTGTTAGCTTTTATTCGGAAGTTGTCGTATTGTTCTTTTGGGTCTGGTGTGAGAAATCTTTTGGTATATCTCTATTGAGGTAAGCTCTTACCAATATTCCATATTTAAGCTCACTTGTTATGTTAAATTTAATCCTGAAATGGATTTGGTATATTCTGAAATTGATTCAAGAATAGGATGTAAATCTTGTTCATTTTATATGTTAAACCACTGTGATGTTTTTTTTGAATGGTTTTAAGTTGAATAAAATGTCACATTTTAATGAGCATGTTATTGATTTTATTGTGGAAAGCTACATCTGCAATTGTTAGCTATAAAGATTTTTGCTTAGTACTTCAAGTTTGTAGTCGTGTAGTATCGTATATCCAAGAAAGTGTTTTTTTAGTGTGGTTAAATTGAATGCATCTGGAGTGTAACATTTTTTTTTGAATTGTTAAATATGTCACTTGATTTCATTTTTCCTGATGGACGACTATGACTTATTGGATTCAGTCGTATAAACAACAATTTTGGCCCATAATATATCGTGTTTCCTCCCTTTTAGCCTTAGTCTGTTATTATCAAATATCTTGTATGGTTATTACTTGATATCAGTGCTTCTTCCATCTTTTCTTTAGCCTAGGGTCTATCGGAAGCAGTCTCTCTGTCCTTCTAGAGTAGGGGTAATGCTACATACATCAATACCCTTCAACCCCACTTATGAGAATACATTGGGTTGTCATTGTTGTTGTATAGTATACAAGATTTTTATGAAAGGTGTTTTAATTTAGTTTGAAGTATATTATATTGCTCATACTTGGCCTCATATAATCTCAAAGACTAGGAAAATAATTCAACAGTAGTTTTCTTTAGGTACGCAATTAAAATTATTAAAACTACGGGTACGGTTCCCGTGACGTGGTTGCAATACCTAATTTTAAATTAGATTAAAGTAGGAGCATCTTTAGTTTGCCCTAGAGAAAAATACAAATCTTTTCTTTCAAAAATGAATTGTGGTGCACCATACGCAAATAAAATCCATAACCTATGGTCGTCACATAAATAAATTTAGTATAGAAAATGCCTTGAACTTTCGTAGCTTGCTTTAGCCGCGTTAATTAAATAATTGTCATAGCTACGGGTACAACTCCTGTGACGTAGTTGTGACGTTTAATTACTAAAATCCGGGGGTACATTTATGTGACCCGGCCACAACAACTAATAATGCTAATAATTTAAACATGTTGTAAATTGTGGGTACGGTTCCCGTGACACGATTCACAATATGTACCAAAAAAGCAAGTGTACGACAATCGTAACTTGTTCCAGAATAATTTCATAAATAATTAAAAGCGGTCAAAAGTTAAAAATGTACTATAGGTTTAAAACGTGTAGTAAATCAGATAATAGGCCAATATTAATAGTTTAAGCTACCGTGCTAGAACCATGGAACCCGGGAATGCCTAACACCTTCTCCCGAGTTAACAAAATTCCTTATCTAGAATTTCTGGTTCGCAGACTTATAAAGTAAAGTCGAAATTTCCTCGATTTGAGATTTTAAAATAAACCGGTAACTTGGGACACCAAATAAATTATTCCAAGTGGCGACTCTGATTAAATTAAATAATCACATATCGATTTATGTCACTTTAATTGGAAAAACTCTTATATACCCTCGGGTGGTAAAAAAAAAAGGAGGTGTGACAATGCGAATCTTGCTCATTCTATTTGGTTGGAATCCCAGTTTCTGCCATATTATGTTTTCTTATACATTTGAGAGCAAAGGGCCTTTGGATTGGACTTTTGGTTCTGCAATACAAGCAACTACTCTTTCCTTCATATTTGGTTTCATTGATTGGCAAAAGCAGGTCCCCTTTTCCTTGTTTCTCCTAAATTTCATTTTCATCCTTACTTTTATTTAACTACTTTGTTATTTGTGGATTGAATTATTTCCTTATATTTTTAGGAAACCCATAGTCCCTATAGGTTTCAGAAAATCCATTGTCCTAATAGATTTGGGAAAGGAAAACCTATATTCCTTGTCAAATTGGGAAACCTTTCTCATATATGTTTGGGACCTTTTGGGATCTATATATAGGGGTTTTAGTTGGGGATTCTAGAGAATGTATTGTGCTTTTCTTCTCATTCATAGTGAAAATCTCTCTCTGCTTTTGCCCCGAGGATTAGGTTTAGCCGAACCTCGTTAAATCCTTGTGTTGATTTTTCTTCTCTATTTGCTTTGTGTGAGATTGTGTGCTAGTTAACCCACGATATTTCACAACAATTGGTATCAGAGCAAGGTTCGGGTTTCTACATATAATCTAGGGTTAAGATGTCTTCATCATCTTCAACAAAGTACGAAGTAGAGAAATTTGACGGAGGTTCTAGTTTCAGTCTATGGAAGATTAGGATGAAATCATCCCTGGTGTTACAAGTATTATGGAAAGCAATTGATGATGATTTTTCGGAAGATATGAAAGAGAAAAAGAAGGAAGGCCTGAAGGAGAGGGCATTGAGTGCGATCTTCATGAGCGTTATAGATAGCGTTCTTCGGGAAATTGCTGAAAAAACTTCTGCAGCAACGACATGGAAGAAGCTGGAAGATCTGTATTATAAGAAATCGCTGACAAACCGCCTCTACCTGGAAAAGAGGTTATACAATCTTCGTATGAACTAAGGTACACCTGTTAAAACTCACCTTGATGAGTTTAATTCAATTATAATGGACCTGAAGAATGTGGATATCAAAATTAAGAGTGAGGATCAGGCCTTGATTGTGTTATGTTCTTTACCACAGTCTTATGATACTTTTGCCGATACACTGCTATATTGGAAAGACATTATTTTATTAGAAGATGTTAGTAATGCACTAAAATCTAAAGAGTTGAAAAAGAGTTTTCCAGACAGCAAAATTGAGGGCGAGGGTCTTGTGATTAGAGGAAGAACACAACAAAAGGACTTTAACAGGAAAAAGTCAACCGCAAGATCAAAGTTTAGAGCAAGGGAGCAACACTGTTATGAATGCGGGGAGCAAGGTCACTACAAGAGAGATTGTCCTAAGTTGAAGGAGAAAAGAGGGAAGCAGAAAATAGATAATTCGGCAGATATTGTTGAAACTGGCAATAATTCTAATGATAGTGACTATGTAGGAGAAGTTTGTGCTGTGAGTTCTAGTCATGGGCAAAATTCTTGGGTTCTTGATTCTGGTGCTACTTTCCACATGTGTCCACACAGGAATTGGTTTGCAACTTACAAACAAATGAGTGCGACTGTCTATATGGGAGACGATAATCCATTACCAGTAGAGGGGGTTGGTAACATCAAATTGAGAATGTTCGACGGAATTATCAGAAACATTGAGTGTTGGCATGTTCCTTGGATAAAGAGAAATTTGATTTCTCTTTCGACTTTGGATGATCAAGGGTATAAATTTCACTCAGAGAATGGAATACTTAAAGTATGTAAAGGATCCATGGTACTCATGAAGGGTAAACTACATTCTAAATTGTATCATATTCAAGCCAGTGTAGTTGAAGGGGAAGCTACTGTAGCTTCTGGGAAAAGTGATCTGAATCAGTCACAGTTGTGGCACTTGCGACT